TTCTTGTTGAAATGGATTTTCGAAATTGATACGTGCATTTTCAGATTAACTGGGTTATTAATTTTTTTGTTGGAACTATATTGTAGTTCAAAAGATATACTCATGCGAGTTGTGGCCCAAAACCTCTCTCCTGAGCTGACGCTTGTTGAAAAGGTTGGACAGCCCTTTTATCTTAATTGTTTCAGTTTGGAGAAGCTGCAATATATTCTCCTGGATTTTATTTTGACTTTTTTAATGAAATTACACATTGAGTTTTATCCTTGCTTAGTAATTATTACTTACATTTCCCATGCTTAAAAATCTTTGGTTAGAAGTTGTTTGATTATAATCCTTTTATTCATTTTTTCTCCAGGTTATGACACCTAGCCCTGAATGTGCGAAGCTGGAGACAACTATTCTTGAAGCATTGCACATAATGCATGATGGAAAGTTTTTACATCTTCCAGTCGTAGACAAAGGTGAGTACATGTTTTTGTATTTTTAGTTTTCATTCTAAAAAGCTTTTAACATTATTGTTTTGGCAGATGGTGGTGTTGCTGCCTGTCTCGATGTTTTGCAGATAACTCACGCAGCAATTTCTATGGTACAGTTTTCTTTTGATACATTTTTTTTTTTCATCTTGATTTGTTTTGCTAATTGCTATATTTCAATATATTGTTGCTTCATGTTTATGCCAATATTGAATGCACCTTTAAATTTGTGTGCTGCAAGAACTTGGCTTATGATTAATACACAGAGTTAATCGTAAATGAATTTTAGCATTCACTGTCACTCTGCATATATATCTGACATGGAATGTCATTATCAGAGCAGGCCAAACCTTGCTACTCCTGAGTGGGCAACTTTTTTTCTCGTATTCTCAAATAAAATGCCAAATCAGCCCTTTAACTAAATCAGTGAAAAATTTTGACACACTATTCCAAACAATTTCGGTTTTCGCAAATCCTGGTGGGAGGAAAACGTTTTTATAAAAACGGTTCAAAGACAGCATATGATTTTGCATTTGCTTTAAGTTTTTCTATTGTCAAGTTCTTGAAATTGTGAACTAAATTTTCTGTTTGTTTCTCTTCTTAGAGTGTACTTTTACATGGTAATTAATTATGATATTAACTGAATGTCCCTAGTCATTTGATCTTTTTGCATGTATATTATTTTTCAATCGGTTGGACTTTGGAGAATTAAAATTTGCATTGCTCTTTCTTGAAAGGTTGAGAGTAGCTCTGGCACTGTTAATGATGTTGCAAATACAGTCATGCAAAATTTCTGGGATTCAGCTCTTAATTTGGAAGCCCCTGATGATTATGACACTCACAGGTCTTGCTTCGACATCTTTTGCTAATTTAATAATATTCATGATTGGAATGAGTGCCCACTAATCATACTTTTTCTTTTGTACAGCGAAATGTCTATGTCCCATCCTTCAGATGCTACCGAACATGCAAAGTCTGCATACCCAAATCTCGGCCTTGGAAACTCATTTTCTTTCAAATTCAAGGACCACAAAGGGCGTGTCCACCGATTTAGTTTCGGTATAACAGATTATATGACGACCTTTGCCTTCAGAGCTAAAATCTTGTTTAAGTGTGGAAAAAACCAGCTTACCTTTTTTTTTTCTTTTAATTTTTTCTAATGCTCTTTTTCCCTTCGCTTTTGCATTTAGGCACCGAAAATCTAGCCGAACTAGTCTCTGCTGTTATGCAACGAGTGGGTACACACAGTGATCAGCACCCCCCTCAACTTTTGGTCGGTGTATAATTAAACATATCATCTTCTTTATTTATATATTTTTTATTTATTTATTTTTTTTACGAGGCTTGTTGATGCTATTTACCGTTTTATCTCTTAGTACGAAGATGATGAAGGTGATAAAGTCCTGCTGACGACAGATGGAGATCTTATTGGTGCCATAACCCATGCAAGATCTGCCGGACAAAAGGTGACAATAATGATCTACATTGCTGCCCAAAACCTTAGGAGACTAAATAAATATCTCGTTAATGGTGATTAAAATATATCTTGTGTTATTACCAGGTATTGAGGTTACATTTAGATTACCACGATTCAAATCTTGAAAAAGAGCAGCCATTGGCTGAAAAGATCGAGATTGTTGAGAAAACTGGGACTGCCTCTATACGTTACGGGATATTTGCAGGTGCACTCGTTCTCACAGGCTTTGGTGTGTTGGTCTACTTGAAGCGCACAAGAACTTGATATGCCTTGCATAGGTATATTATTTGTTTTGAGCAACAGAAAATTTGGAATAATACTTTTGTTGCAAATATTCTACTAAGTATGATGAATCCCTGTGTGACCTCAAATTTTCGAAAGTTTTGTGAAAATCTGGAACCATCTGTAGCATTGGGACCTTAAATGGTGAAAAATGAGGTTAAGGGAAATTGGAGAGGCAAACAGAAAGGAAAATAATGCAGGACCTTAAAGCTGGCCAAACTTTGATATGATCTTTGTGTTCTTTCTTGTCTGATTTTACCATAGAAATGTTGTCACTGTATAGTGAATGTATCTTCAATTTCTTATTGCAGGTGTGTATCTTGTGAGTATGTGATTAATCCAATCATAATTACCTAATTATTCTACATTTTGAAAAAAAAAAAAAAACTTGTTAAATGGTTGAATTGATTGACTAAAAAAAGGAACTTTTTTTGAAAGGTAATAGTGGAACAATGATTAATTGACTAAATCTTGTGAGTACATTGACTCTGATGGAACAATGATGCTTCTCCACAGATTAATTTTGACATATCAATATTTTTCAGAATGTGGAATTTAATGTATTCATACTATTGAAGCTGTTATCCGAGCAAAATAAATATAGACATCCTTGAGTAGGTTTTAAGTGTAATTAGTCCATTCAAGTTGTGTTATTTGTGAATTTCTAGAAATGGATTAGAAAAAATGGAAGTAACGAACATATATGATAAACTATTAATTCTTGCTATTTAAAGTTATAGGGTTTTTATAAGATGAATTGCTGCATATGAATACCCACATAATTTGGGTATAACAGTATTACAAATACACAACAATGCTAAGGAGTCAACTGTTGGTTCCGTTATGGAGTGAACAACCAGTGGGACAGCTCCATGTGGGGCTGTCCTACATGACTCCATAAACTTGGCTCCATAAAATACATTTAACGGTATTACAAATACATATAACTTGGCTCCATAAAATTTCTGAACACATAATTTGCGTTTGCAATACTTTAATTTAAACTCTTGAGATTGAAAGAACATAAAATCGGGATATATGAAATTTGTAAAAATTGGTGTAGGGATCATAGATTTCAACTAATTTGATTTAAAATGTTAAAGGGGTAGTAAGAGATGCAAGGGGATATATGAATTTGAAAAAATGGTGTATTATGACTGGTTTTATTTTTTATTTATATTTTGGTAACCCATTTTATTTCTTTATGTTTTGTACAATTTTTTTTATTGTTTGTACGTTTCATTTTCTGTAAATACGTGACTTTCATTCACGTGGGTTTCTGAGGCAGTTAATGCATATTTATCCATTATCTTTTGGCATATATTAAAGAGAAAATTACTTCCTACACTATTAATTTCAGTTTTTATTACACAATTACATATCTATTATAAATATTAGCATTCCTACCTAAAAGCATGTTCTTATTTGTAGATATACCAAAAAATAATGTAATAATTAATTACATATTTTTAAGGAATCAGTTTCTCTCCCACAAATCACATCTCTCTCCTTATCTCTTCTTCTTCTCTCTCTCCCTCCGACTCTTCTTTTTCCGTTATCTCATTCCTCATCACAAAAGAACAGAAGAAAAGGAATATGAGAATAAAGAATTGTGGCGATATCACTATACAAAGGGAACTTCTGCAAAGCGTCCGATGTACTTCGCCGATGGCCGCCACTGACCCCAAAGCTTTTGCTCAAGGACTTCAAGATTCTCCTCCACTGCCGCGACATGGCGCTCGCCCGCCTCCGCTTGTCCTCCGCCGAGGCCAATATCGATGTCCCGATGACTTCAGGCCATAGAACCGGCCGCAGCCCTAGCCCCGAGCCCAATCGTGCTAATACCATTTCAATTCATGGAGATAACGAGGTGAATAAAATCGATGGCGATAATCATGCGAGCAATCACTGTTCCAAACCTGAATTGCTACCGAAGGGGAATTTAAAGGAAGAGGTGAATGAGGTGATGATAGATGAAAGAGGAAATTCATTGAAGAAACTTATGGTATATCAGTATATGTCTCTGTCTGGGATCTGATCATGGTGGCGGTTGACGGGGGTATATGTTGCGGGTATATACAATATGTTTTCAGTATATGTTTTTTGTCCCGGATATATACATTATATTTTAAGTATATTTTCAGTATATACGTGATATCAACAACAAACACATGAATATTGAACATATCTTTGCAACTAAACGATAATAAACAAGATCACATATGTTTTCGGTATATAAAACATAGATTAACGTGTTCTTAGATGTGCAAATAAATAAATAAAATACGATAAATCATATAAATTGAATGGAACACTACACTTGAGTTTCTCGTAATTCAAGTCGACTGTAAATCAGGACACAGAGATATACATAAAAGATACATAAAATATACACTCGAGTTTCAAAGATCATACACACATATACATAAAATATACCCTTGGCCATTGTTTTCTTTTCCGATATTCATTCCAAAGTAAGCAAATTTT